CACTCCAGCTCCTTGGCAGCCACCATGTTGGTTGGGTTAATTTGCATACTCGCTCCTGGTTGGCTGGTGGGCATGACTTGTGGGTGTAGTGGAGTGACACCAATTTGCATGTTTCTCTTTTATTAGTGTAGATTAACACAAAAAGCAACCTACATGCCAAGCCAGTGTTGAGACAGGTCACATAAATTATGAAACAAAAGAATTTGTTGTAGTGATTAATGACCACATTTTAGACAGGAACTTGGCAATGTATAAACAAAAAAATGTGTTATATAAATTATGGGAAACACAGGTATTTATAGCATAATGCTAATTTAATTAGTGTGTGTGTGTGTGTGTGTGTGTGTATACTGTAAACAAAATATTAGATGCAGATACATTGAAACATTGCTATCTTTTTGCAGTAATAGGTTTATAAGCAATTTAAATTTTCTTCTTTGCATTTTCTGTTACTTTACAAATTCTTCTGAATTAATGTGCACTATGCTTAAAATCATAAATATATTTTTATACCCATATTTTTGTAATAAGTTACTAAAGTCATTGCATGCAGACCTGTTTTTCATCCCTGTACCTGTGGAGAATGAATTCACTGATCTTTGTGGTTCTTTCTGTCTCTAAATTTCTATAAAATAGTTTATGTAAATCAAAAGGTAATGCAGAGATGGGTACACACAGACAATAAGAAAAAAAATAAATAAAAGAGGTTAAAGTCAGAAATAATGAGCTTCATTGAGAGGAAGTCAAGGAGTTTTTTAGTGGAAATCCCCTGTAGACCCACTCAGGAGTCCTTGGCCTAGGTGTGGTCATTCTAGCATCACTGTCTTTTTAACTTAATAATGTAGATGATGATGGATAGGATAGTACAAATATGTATACCGCTTACACTGTGCCAGGTACTGCATGCTATAGACACATTTCATTTTGTATTAAAAGAAATTATAGAAATTAAATAAAATGCCTAAGGTCTCAGGACCAGTAATCACACTTACAATGTTCCTTATGCTTTCTGGACTTTTAATTAAATTTTATTTTTTAAAATTTAAGGGTTAATTTCACCATAGACTTTTTTCATTTTGTTGAGGAGCCAAGGAATTTCTCTTGTAACCTCAGAACTCCTTACTCATTTACTAACAATGGCTGAATCCCTTTGATATTTTAAACTATCAGACCACCTGACCTTCTTGGAAAGATAAATTATACTTAATTAATTATACTTGGAAGTTACATTAAAATCATTTACCATTTGGAAGCTTTTAAAAATGAAAAAACACCTTTTTTGTTCTTGATGATGTTATGAGGAAGGGGTGAGGGGAATCTTTATAATAAATAAATTAAGCTTACCTTATAGATTTTTGAATGCTTTACCAAACATTCACCAAATCTAATTAAAATGATATAGCAACTGTGGTCCCTCTGGGAAAATTGTTCTCAAAATTGTAACTCGTATTCCTATGTTGCCATTGCTAGATTAAGCCAAGGATCTAGATTCTATATCCTATGTAACCAAAATGAGTAAAAGAACAGAAAATTGATCTTATGAGAACCAAGTCTTACGTAATGGACCATGAAATGCAGAAGAAATGAAACCGCCTATTACTGAGGATAATGATCAGTTTTTCCCTAAATTCACTCAGGAGAAGAAAAGAGGTAACAGAGATGGATATTTTAAATTCCCTATGAGGAAAACTCCTAATAACTAGGCTGTTAAATAAGGGAACATAATTTTGAAATTGACTTAAATATTTATCTAAATTCTGATTGCACAAATAAGTAACAAACAGATCTCTAGGAATCATCTTATTTTCTCAGGAAAAATAATACCTGCATAACTTGTATTACACTAATCTTGGGTTGGCCTAATCTCTGCTGCAAATAAGTACACTATGTTGTTTTTTTAAAGCTGAGACTACAATGCAACCATATCTCCCTCCTTATACAGAAGTTCATGTAACAGACACTGTTACACTTTATCAATGTGGGAACAGATTTCAGAGGAGATTTAACAGTTTTATATTCCCGAAAAGATTTTAAAGTTGGACACATTTATTCCAGTATGTTTGCTGAAATATGGTCCCATCTAAAGGCAGGTATAAGTGGATTAGAAACTCAGAACTTTCATCCCTTTTTTGGCTAATTTTCTCAGTGAAGTCAACAAAAATGTGAATGTTGCTCCAGCATCAGCTTGCCTGAGGGAAGCTTTTCTCTGAAAGCGAAGCTTGAGTAATTTTTTTAGATGAATGCAGAGTCCCAAACTTGAGACATAATATGCTCTAAAAATTCATGAGTTTTGCTAATTTGTTCAATAAAATTTATATTTGGGAAGAATATTTTTATCCCAAAAAACATAATAATGAACCTATTATATTGTAACTAGAGGCCCAGTGCACAAAATTCATGCACTGGAGGGGTTTTTTTCCCTCAGCCCAGCCTGTACTCTCTCCAATCTGGGACCCCTTGGAAGATGTCCCACTGCCAGTTTAGGCCCAATCCCACAGAGATCCGGCCTAAACCGGCAGTTGGACATCCCTCTCACAATTCGGGACTGCTGGCTCCCAACCACTTGCCAGCCTGCCTGCCTGATTGCCCCTAATCACTCCCCTGCCAGCCCAATCACCCCTAACTGCTCCCCTGCTGGCCCGATTGCCCCCAACTGCCCTCCCCTGAAGGCCTGGTTGCCCCAAACTGCCCTCCTCTGCTGGTCTGATTACCCACAACTGCCTCCCCTGATGCCATCTTGTGACCACATGGGGGTGGCCATTTTGTGCGAGAATTTGCATATTACCACTTTATTATATAGGACAAGGGATGCAAATTTGCATTTGGGGACAAATTAATAATTTATTTAAGTACAATTTTATCATGTCTAGCTTCTCACACAAACTTGAGTAGTACATTATTAAAATTGTAAAATATTTCTTTTGCACTTTGGAGGGTATTTTTCTCTACACTATAATATATCAGAACATGTGTGATCTAAGATGGCTTCTGAAGAAGCTTCAAATAAAATTCTTTCTGGGGTGAAAAGAAACCACAAATAAACTAAAACTAGTGTTTCCTTTTACTCGTGCAATAATTGACTGGAGTCATGCTTTATTTAACCCTTCTGAAAAAAAGAATGAGAGAACAATCCTCCAACAGGAGTCAAGGTTGGCTTTCCTGGACTCAGCTTCTGACTTAAGAGTTCAGTCAGAAGGTCTCCCTGTTGCCTACATGTGCTAATACCTTGCTTTGTTCACAGTACAGTTTTGTTTCTGGAAAATATGCCTTGGTTTGACAGTTCCCTTGAATACCACCTCCCACAAGTTCTGAGCTAACATGGAGAAACCGGCACAATTCATGCTCTTTCCCACGCAGAACTGCCATATATGAATGTCATTCTAAACTCTATTAGTAAAATAAACCCTATGATGTATCCAGCTTACACACTGCTCTGAAAAATCTAATTTCCACTCCATTTGCTTTATATTAGTGAGAGATAGCATAATTAAAGAGAATCAGCTCACCTTAAGACCAAATAGCATAGATGTATGTGATAATTTAAGTCTACCACTATCTATAATAATAAAAGTATAATATGCTAATTAGACCAGACATCATTCTGGACAACCCTCTGGACAATCTTCTGAATGAAGCTGGGGCTGAGAGGGAAGCCTGGGTCCTGGGTGCCTGCTGGTGGCCAGAGGGAAGCTGGTGCCAGCAGCTGGGGGGAGAAAGGCCTACTCTTGCACAAATTTGTGCATTGGGCCTCTAGTCCTATATAATAAAAGGATAATATGCAAATTGACTCTAACGGTGGAATGACTAGAACGATCACACAGCCAGTCACTATGAGGTGCACTGACCACCTCTCGGTCCCTTTCCTTGACCGGCAGGCTCCCATCGCCTGATGGCAAATGGGGAACCAAGGGTAGGTGGCAGGAGATGCACACAGTGCCAGGACAAGGCCCCTGCTTTGCTGGTCACCCCACACACAGAGGGTGACCTGTGGCAGGGGTGGGACCGGCGAGTGGGCAGGAACGGCCAACCTCTCAGTTTGTCCCCCAGGCTGGCAGGCTCCTATCGCCCAATGGCGAATGGGGAACCAGGGGTGGGCGGTGGCTAGGGTCAGGGCTGACTGCAGGCAGCTGGGGAAGATGGCCCTGATTGTAGGCCAGGCCTAAGGACCGTACCTGTACACGAATTTCATGTGCCAGGCCTCTAGTCATAAAATAAAAGAAGAAAAAGAACTTTAAATAAAAGGAAAAGAAATGACCTAATCTTGAGATGTATTTTTTTATCATCTCTTGCTTTATATAAGCACATCTAGGACACAAACGAATAAGCAGACACTTTTAGTATGAACATACCCAAGCATTCCTGAGGACTGTTCTTAAAATAGAGGAGGTTTAAAAAACATTAGTTTTCAGATGATGGCTAGTTACAGGATCAGACTACTACAAATAGCACTTACATTTTGAACTTCTAATATGATGAACAGCTGCCCAAAATAGCACATGTTTTTATTCTACAAAATGCAAAGTTGACTAGATAGGCAAAACTAATTTAGAAGAGAAAATATGTATCTTCTCTAATAGATATAATTCCATCAAAATTTTTATTTACCTAAATTTATATTTATGTTAAACATAAAATGACACAGAGCTCCTCTTTTGCTGATAAATGTACACTTATCATACACCTTTTAGTCAAATAATGTGTTTCTTTAATGTTTTTCTTGTTAATAAAAGAAATATATCTGTACAGCCAAGCTAACCACCCCAAAGAATTCAAAATATGCAGGCTTGCCCTGACTATTTAATTTTACTTTACCTAAATTATTAGTGAGAGAGAGAGAGAGAGAACCTCAGTAAAAGTTATAAACCAAACAATATAATTAACAAGCAGCACTTATCTAAGTAATTCTATTGTTCAAAGAGTTAACATCTGCCCAAGTCAATTTCCTTTACATTTACCCCCACAGCAGGTTCAGACTTTGCAATTACCCTTCTTCTACATACTGGGAATTTGTTGGATCCTGTGGACAACGACAAATGCATCAGATAGCCCCACTTTCACTGGGTGATTGGTTGAACTTATCTGCGTGACCAAAACAGGAATCTGAAAAAGCAAAAGCAGATTGCTATGTGTTAGCATTTAATTTCACCTTGCTTAGTAAATAAAATCAGGCAATGGAGATGAAGAACTACAGAGAGAACAACTGGAACATAAATCTGAATATGACAAACATTCCTAATATTTACAGTTTAAAAAAGGACACATTGAGAATACACTAAACAAAATACAGCATTATAAATGAGACAGACTATTGAACTCTATTTTTTTTTCTAGACTTAGAAGAGTTTAATAATAATGATTACTAACTTTATTATCATTTTTATAGGAATAAAAGTGGGAACGAAACCATATTCAAGAAATAAAAGGACTAGAAACGAAAAGAGAAAAATAAATGCACCCCAAAAATCTTTAAGTAGAATAAATAGGTTGTGGGCCATCTGTGAGTAATTCATTAAAGAAAATATTAGATCGGACATTGTTATATAAACTTGAACAAATGGTATAGCAATAAGAAGGGAAAAAATAAACTGGAGAGAAGATGGTATATAAGAGCTGTTCTGCTCATTTTTGCCCTTGGCATCATAATATTTAAAAGGATCATTTTGTTGAAATTGACCAATTAAGAGAAAATTTTAATGTTTCTGAAATTATTTGAAACGTGTAAATGGAAGATGAGATTTTCCCTTTATGTACCAAATCAATCCTTTCTCAAACAATGGTATATTCCAATTTTATATCAGTATGTCTAGCATTAAAAATTATTCTGATATTTGGACAACAGAAACAAAACAAACCACAATTTCTGTTTCTAAGAGAGCATTTACTAAATTAAACTCTGATATACTGTATTTGCTTATTTACCAACCTATATTCAGTATCAGTATATGAATCCCTTTTCCTAAGGGGCATTATACTCAGTTTACGCAGCTTTATACTCCATGTGGAGGAGTACTGCTATAAATGTAACTTACATTTAAGACAGATTACAGTTAAAGATGAAAAGACAAAAGGATGGATAAGCATAGAAAAAATGCAAATTCAGGTTGTACTTTGTATATCCTAATAGGACAAAGTCATAATTTTTAAGCAGTATTATTAACAGATGCCTGCCTAGAATAATTATTAAAGCTCGCTACTGGCACTTGCCTTCATCCCGCAACATCTATGAGTGCAGCTTTCTTCTGCTAGGCGTGAAGTATTTTCCCAGATAATTCTGTGATAATTAGTGTATTTCTTTCCTTCTTTTTTATTGCAAGTCATTTTTTTTATTATTTAATTTGTATTGAATTTATTGGGGTGACATTGGTTAATAAAATTATATAGCTTCAGGTATACAATTCTATAATACATCATCTGTATATTGTATTATGTGTTCACCACCCCAAGTCAAGTCTTTCCCCCCCACCCAAACTCAAAGCAGACCTTGAGTTTTTATTGCTAGCAATTAAAAAATCTTACTGTTATTATGAATATTATTTTTTCCCCAGAGTTTTTTTTTCCAGCGCACATGGCTTGGTTGCTGCACACCTCCTAGTATAGTATCTCTTCCCCTTATGTTCAGATTTTCCATTCCGCCTTTTCTATCACTTTTTCTTATCTTTTCCCTTTCCTACCATCCTTCATTTGATTTGTTTCTTCACCGATTTCCTTCCTTGCACTGCCTTCCTTTATACTTTGTCTTGAAGTCAAACACTCTCCCCTGTGCTTTGTATCTGTGGAGGATCAACCGCAGTCATGGCCTCCAATCAATGTCCTCCTGTATCCACACGTTTTACTTTTTCCCTTGGCCATCCTCTTCCACTTTAACTCATGGCTCAGTGATATTGCAAAAGAAGATAACAACAAACATGAAGGAAAAAAGGAGCCTCAAAAAGTGCTTGCACATTTCTACCTCCTTGCAGGGCCCCCTGCCCCTGCCAGGAGAATGTCCCCTGCTGGTCTGCTGCAGACATGAGAGAGATGTGGAGAGTTACTCTCCTTCCAACAGAGGTCATCCTGGACCCGCTAGCCCTTACCCACTCCACCTGGCACATGAGTGAGCCCCATTGAGGTCAGAAGAGTACCACCCAGAAAAGTGCAACCACTGAGTTGATCCATAGGCATCTTGTGAGAAATAAGACAGGTGGTTGTTTTAAACCACTACATTTTGAGGTGATTTGTCATGCAGCCTTGACTGAATTGCCTTTTGGTGTTTTTAGGAATTAAAAGGCTGGAGCAGGAGTAAATAAACGTGTCAGAGGAGATGGGAGTGGTGGCGGCAGGTCACAGGGAGCATGCGTTCCCTGAAAGCTATGGCGATGACTTTACATTTTCTTCCAAGTCATATGGGGAAGATTTTAGAGGGTTTTGAACAGAGGAAAGAAGTGCCCTTACATGTGAAAGAGATCCCACAGGCTGCTGTGTGATCAAGACTGCAGGGCCAAGGGGTAAGAGAGAAAGGAGTTAAGACAGCATCTCGTGTGTCCAGGTACGAGATGAGTTGCTGGGACTACACTAGAGTGGCAAGGGTAGGAGGTGAAAATGGAACAGGAGGATGAATTCTGGATGAACTATGAAGGAATTGCTATCAAGACATGCCACAAATTTAGTAAGGAGAGTGAGACAAAAAGTAAGGTCAACCATGCCACCAAGACTTTGGGTCTAGCTAGCAGGAAAAATGAAGCCATGCTTTTCACCAGGGCTGCCACGTGTGCACTCGGTGTATTCCCGCTGCAGGCCATGAGTGGTGTGCCCTGGGCGTGCAGAGGAGGCGTGGGAGCTCTGGCGGGCACTGCCATGTTCTGAGATGGAGACAAGCAGAAGAAGGGTTGGAAAACGATGATAGCTTTATGGCAAGATCAATGGCTTCAAATGCTTCTCTTTAAAATTTTATAGAGTTCATGAATAAGAGCCTGGGCTTTCTAAAACTGTGGTATTTTATCCTGATTAAATATTAAAATGAATAAGAAGCTTTTGATTCCCCACATCTTCCTAGAAGCTACCTAGATCTTTTACAAAATAATTACATATCAGGTTTTGCAAAAACGGCTTCCGTCAATTGAATTAAATGACTAATGTTGCAAAAGATTAATGAGGGAGAGATAAACAACTCCAGGCTTTCTCATAGATTTCTTTCAGAAACATGTCTGCCTGTTTCCACCTGATATTGTCATTATCGTTTCCACTCTGCCTTATTGGACTGTAATCTTTTTACTTCTAAATATCAAAGGCGCGGGGTTGTTCTGAGAAAGGATCACTCATTCACTAACTGCAGCCAAGGAACTGAGCTGTGCCAGCATTTGGAGCCAGTCAGACCATTCGCAGGTTTCCACGTCAATGATTAGAGACCGTTCAAATGAACCAGGAGTGCTGTGAAACTGCATTTAAAATGTGCTGCTTTTTATTAATATCAGCAAAGCAACTGCATGTATATAAGTAAATAAATGATCAGATATTGAACAAAATGAGCACTAGAACATGTTTGTCATATTGTCGCAATCATCTATTCTTTGGAGAACTCTGCATTTACAAGGATTTGAAGTCCACAGCCAGAGAAGCCATGGCCAAAGATGATGTCCAAGTTCAAAAATTCTAAAAACTTTGCTATGAGAAGCTATTTGTTATCCTTTCTGCAAATTCATATTTATCTGGAAAATGTCTCTTACATTAGTTCATAGGGATGTTAGGAAACATGAAATTATATACTCTTAACTATGTCAGCCTTTTTTAAAGAAAAAGAAATATAGCTTCATTATTTTCATGTACCGATAATAGTTGCCTTTTATGATTAAAGCAAAACTCAATTTTTACTTGGCCTTTGTATGATTTGTACTGAATCATAAATTTCTGAGGCTGTTTTACAATTACATTCCTCCACAGGATAGAGATAGAAAAGAATCATTAGTGCCAGTTAAAATATGGCTGCATTTTGGCTTATACTACCATTTATACATTCTTTTTTAAGTCTTTTAATTTTTATCCCATTTAATAAGAGATAGATGTGTTTATTATTTAAATAAGCATATGTTCTCCCATAAATGACATAGTGAAGCACATTAAGCCAGACGCAGGAAAGAGCTGCAGTCACTAGACAACATTAAAGCAGGGAGGCTGCTAGGAGTGAGCCAAGGCAGGGCACAGCCCACTGGCCTGGGGAGGCAAGTTCAAAGTCAAGACTGCTCCCTGTTCTGCACTGTGGCATCATTCACCGGGACACAAGGGCCCAACACAATACCTGAAATGTGAACTTTTACATCCGTCTCTAAACAGGGAGGCAGCAGCATGCTGCTTGGATTAAAGGTAATGGGATTTTATTTTCCTGTCTGTTGTGTCCTGCAAACCTCGCCAAAACATTCATTTGTTTCCATTATGGACCCAGCTAGCTATCTGGTCAGCGGCTCAGCATCTCAGCAAGGGCTTGATTGTATAGCATGTGTGCCAAAGTATGAATCTTATGCCTATCGGAACGTAACCAGAAAAGAATTACTCTAAGCTCATTTTTGTTCACTCTTTTTCTTCACTCGCTAATCAGCAATATGCTATCTCTCTATATATAGATTGTATATGTGATTTAAACCAAAGCTTACTATTTTACCCATTCTCACCTGCATCCGACCCTTAACTTTCTACCTCATCTTCCTTAAATATCTGCTCTGGCTTCGCCATTACTAAGTAGGGCATCCAATTTTACAAAGCCACACTTTCTTTCATTATTATCAAAACAACACATAAAGTGCAGATTGTTAGTTCTTAGTTGTCTAAAAACTAAATTTAACTAGAAAGGCTTTCAGTAAATTTGACAATATACAAATCCATTTGCTTTACTGTATGTCGCCAACATTTCACACAATTATTTTATCCCCTTTTATTTTACAGTAACTGACCTCTCATAGGCCAGGTATCGAATAAAGCACTTGTCGGCATGAAAGCAAAAGAGAGCCCCATGTTGAAGATACATTCTTAGCATCCCTCCTGCCCCATCTCCACAATCATGCCCTGCAGAACATCTGGAAGGAGAGAAATAACAGCATAAAGCCGATAAGTAAGGACACTCCCTATATTCA